CCTTCTTCGTTGCGTTGCGCGTCGCCGGATCATCGTCACGGAACGGTTGCACGAAAATGTTCCCCGGCCGATTCGCGTATCCCACCCGGCCCGGCGGGTAACACGCTTTTCAATTTATTGGCCGTGATCCACTTGAAATTTAATAACGACCCACGCGCTCGTTAACCCCGTTTGTCGTCAATGACTACGTGTCCTCCTTGTTCACGAGCGCGAATAGTCGCGATCCTGGGCCGGCTGGTCGCGGAACGCGCCCCGCCGGTTTTTTTCCTCTGCCACGTGAATTTCGTTATGGAGGGTGAAGCTGGCCGATCGTTCCGGAGGAAAAACCGTTCCTGTGTTTGAGCATTGACGAGATTTAACTCGTAATATTCCAATGCGAGATACCGCCACGCACTCGATACTCCATTGCAGGAAAATCAACGAGCGGCTCTCGTTCGACTACGCGTAAAAATGAATCGCGCGATGCACGGCGGGTCGGCCCGCCCGCTTGCCTTTTCCAGGGCGCACGAATTTTGTCAGTTGAAAGTTAACTGAGAAATATCGTTCCGCGAATGTAATTCTTTAACGTTAAAAGTACCGAACAATTTGAGTGACTTATTCTCAGGTTTTTATAAAAATTTGAACGATACGTTTCTTGAGATTTGGAGGGTCTCCTGGTTTTGTATTTGTACAAATACAGAAATTTAATTTAACACTAGAATGTGTTACTAATTAATATGTAATCTATATAAAAGTTGTAACAATAGATTATTTTCAGTTTCTTCAGATATTCATTGTAGTATTCAATTGAAACTATTTATTTACAATATCATTTCAAAACAAACAATCGAAACCAGTCATTCTGACTGATACGGTAGTTCTTGTGTTACAATTCGCGAAATCGTCCTGATTATAAAAATACTTACAAAATTAAATTTTAAAATGGGTGAATTTGACCCGTCCGGTAGTTTCAGTGTTAAATGCTTCCTATGGAGCAAATAAACCTCGTTAACATTCGTATGGCACTAAAAATATCGAATTACGAAAAATAACAAGATGTTCATTTGTACTTCAAATTACATGCGCAAATTTACACTTTATACAAATAAGGTGAAATGTAATATTTTAAATAAAATTTGGACCCATTTAGAAGCTACATACGAATCAATTCGAGTAACTTGTATTTTTAAACGAATGTTTATAATAATTCAATTATACAATGATATTTAATATCTCGTACGTTTATATTCGATGTTCCTATAATTTATGCGATCATACGGATAAATCCTAGTACAAAAAGAAGACTGGAAAGTGCCGCAATCTAATTATTATCGAATACCAGCTGGATTTCTATATTGGTAGCAATATCCCGATGCAATTCATCGAAACTACAGATCGAAAGTCAGACACGCTGGCCGTCCGAGATAACCCATTATCGAGCACCGGTCCGATCGTGGACAAAAGGGGAGGGCAGGGACGAAGATGGCGGAAAGAAGTGGCGGAATGAAGGTTAATGGCAATTCCGATCGAGGCGTTTCGAGTAACGGAAGGAAAAGGAGACAAAAGGAGGAGAGAGGTCCACGGGATCGGATTTCGGTCTTCGTAAAAACCATTGCAGCAGACCGAACGGAAGTGGCGGTACGGCCGGCCATCTCTCCCGAGCCTTGCGATCGGTTCGAGAGGGTTAAAAAGCAATTTTCCTTTCCCGGCAGACCCAACAATCGAGCTGCAGTTGACCACCAGCCTGGCTAACATCGCCGACACCGACGTCGACCCCGACAAAGCAATTCCAATTCAATCTGAACGAACGAACCGGTCGTATCCGGTTGAAAACGAACGCCGTTAGGCCATGCTTTTGCGCTCCTGAATGGGATACCCACCTGTGCGCGCGAAAAATTTAACAAGACTGATCGAGTGACGTTCCATAGAGTACGGGAAATGGGATAACAAAGGAGATAAGCGTTGAATTAAGTACGCGATTAATCGGAACGCTTCGTTGCCGGGAACTCTTTGACCTCTGATGAAGTTGTGTGCAGTTAGCAGTTCGTGGAGTTCACTTTACAAAGGTTTTTTCAGTGAAAGTTTATTCAATCGGAACGTTAAGTTCTTAGCAATTGAAGAAACGTATTAGAATGTAATACATACTCATGTATTTTTGAGTATGGATAGAGAATTTAACATCAATTTGCAGTAGTTGATCTTAACAGTAACTTCCTCGTGTATTAGAGCTATATAACTTAGAAACGCTTTAACGTTAGTAAAGATGCTATAATACTTCTACTTAAATATTTTTGTCCCTCAGATAAGTCAATTGCCCGAAATATCCCCACAACAAATTTTAAACCACCTTATTTTGCAAACTAGTGTACGGTTTCTAAAGAACAAGAGGGAATGCAATGGGAAAAAATAAGAGTTAAACACTGAAATTCTCGTTCGTTTCATGCTCGCATGAAAACCGCCATCTGAAAAGGCTCCGCGAAATGTCACGGGATTTCAACGCGCGAATCCATTTTCGCCGGGCGTGCATTAAGCCCGACGTGGATTGTTCGATACGGCACGGCACAGACGAGCCGGTGTATCCGGCCGAAGTGAAAGAAAAGCCGTCGGTAAAAGAGTGCGTCGGAAAAAATCGGGGCACGCACGGTTCTTCCACAATAGATCGCTTAGCGGTCAGAGAGCCGGGAAGCGAAAACGGCAGCCAGAAAAGGGGACGAGATGGAAAGAGAGAGAGCGAGTCGTCAGCTGTCGCGATGATGCAGACGACGTTTCCACCAACGTGATTGACAGTTTTATAGGGAACACCGAAGAACGTTTTCGGATTTACGGCTAGGGGACCGTGTACCACCATCGAACCGAGGCCTAGGGTGGAGTCAAACGTTACGCGACGTTTGATGCTAATCGAACCGTGATGCTGCGACAGAAGGCGGTTTCGGGACGCTGCCGACCCTGTTCGCCCGTTGAAATGGAAGAAGAACTACATAGAGTTCACGGAATCACGTTGGTAGCTCTCCATCACGAGATGTGAAACTCGGCGCGGTGATGTATCTTTTAATTGCATCCTCTTGAGTAACCCACTTTGGGATAACTGTGTTTTCTAAGCAGAAGAAATCTTAATAACCACTTTTTACACTTGCTCTGGCAAATCATATTTCTTCACATGTTAGAAAGGAGCTTCGAAAGCTTAACATTTTTACCGAGAATGCGTTGTAACTAAATCGAAATGTAAGAATTAAAAGTAATATAAAATTGATATCTTATACATTCCTACGATTAATATCGACCATTGCGTATTAGTTACTCTCGTGTTTCTCAAAAGTAAACTCAATTCCATATTAGTTACTCAGTTACGTTATTCAATAAAATATCGTTTAATTAATCTCTCGAACTGAAATGACGAGTCTCACTCGCACGTGCTCTCAATGGAAAACTAGATTTCGAAAATTATTTTACAAACGTGCTGTATCGTAAATAAAATAATTTTCTTATTTTCAGAAATAAACTTAATTGAAGCTTAATATTTCAATTTTCTTTGAAGTAATCGTGTTCACAGGGTTGCGACAAAATTGAACAGCGTAAGTAGGAACGTTTGATTCAAAATGAATCGTCAGGCAAGGGGTATCTTCTTTTGTCGTTTCAACGCAGTCTGAATGAAAGGAAAACAATGGATTTTCTTCGTTGCTTATTGAAACTACTTCGATGATAGATTTAAGAACACTCACCTCGCAGTTCGAGTGGCTGATGTTGCTCAGATTCAGCCTGAACACCTTGTCCCTGGAACAGAAAGGTACCGTGTGAACGTTATTCGATAGACAGCAACAATACGTGTTAAACGGGCAGCGGTAGGGGGCTAGCCGAAAGCTCGAGATGTAAATTTTCATTCCGTACGCCTGAGAGATATATTACGCCAGCTGACTCGGCCTTGCCTTATCTATCCACGGTTATGTATGGTTCCGCACGAGCCCCGGCACTTTGCTTACGACGTTCTGGGGCCCAGTGACTGCTCGCAAACGCCACGGAATTTCTATGAGCATCGAAGGGGAAGGGAATCTTTATCCGCCCCCTCTCGCCCATCCTCGCAACCCTCGCACGCAGGTTCTCTTTCCCGACGCGGACTTTCTTCGTTTCCGTGCTTTCCATCTGCTTGTATTAGGATTTCTCAGTTCGAGGCACAATCCCGCGTCTCGTTCGAGATCATCCGTTGAATAAAATATACTGGGTGATTCGTGTAAACTGAATCATTACGATGCTATTTGAATTCGTTCATATTCGAAGATAGTATTCATGTAAAATATCTCTCGAATAAACTTATTTTCTTTGAAACAGTTTATTTGTTGTTTGCGTTTAATTAATATGTAATTAATAATAATAAATTAATGACGATAATTAAATAATTAACATTAGTATCCAAGACGCATATTCTTTTTGCGGTTTGAAACAGTGTTTTACTTTAAACTTAATTTGATTTATAGATAAGTTTTGCAATAATTGAGATGTAATTGTATATAATGGTCCAGATTGAATTAAAAGAAGGATCTAAGAACTCGTATTTCACAATGTTCTCTTAACGAAAATAATACTTCGATCTACCTTCAAAGTATAAGGAGTTATAGTAAAAGTTCAAATGAGGAATTTTACGCAAAACGTAAAATCCTCTAACACAAAATATTTGAATCGCGTTATAGAGAATTCTACTATAATTACATTGCAATAAAGAATGCTCCTCACTTGACATAGAAAGATTATAAAGTTTCATATATAATATTAAACTTTGTATAATGCCTCAACCTACTTATGAAATATTGAAACAAGACAGCGTTGTTTCCTATTTTATGTGCGTTTTCTCATTGAACAGTTTCAAAGAATGTCGTCTGCATCTGATGAAGAAATATTGAATATTTCTAGTGAAAAATTTTCGAGGGCAAAGGATTAGTCGTCTTCAGAATTTCCGGATATTTACCCGATCCGCACCTCCCGAGTGAAGCACCGAGCGTCTTCGCGCGGGAAACAGGAATCTGGGTCGATCGAACGTCGAAGCCGGTTCAATTACACGGCACTGCGAGGTATCTTTAATTTTCCGACGCGTGTCTTGACCTAGCCGTTACAAATTCCAAGAAGATCCCCGACACGCGAATTTCCCAAGAGCAAGGAACTCCTTTTCGTTTGACCCGGAAACAGGATACTGAAAAGAGCGATCGTTCCGGAGGATCTCGAGGAAAAATGACGGGAGATTCGCTAATTGGCGAAAAATCTGAAGAACCATGCTCGGGAAAGCTAATCGCGATATTTCCGCGGTGATTCAACATTTTAAATGCGAACGGTGGTTCGAGTGGAACGAAACGGCGCGCGTCGGGGCGAGTCATGGCTGCTCGTAAATCGAATCTGCATAGTTTTTGAAGCGTTTCGCAACATTAACGCCGTTGCCGCGCATAATTTTCTTTCGATAACCATTCGTCACTGAGCTTCAATAGAAACGGGCGATCGAATGGAATTTCAGGGGTGAGGAACAGTGGAGGAGGGAAAAAAAAACAGTGAAGAGGAATGGAAAAAGAGGTGGAAAGACAAGGGGGAATGGAAAAGGCGGGAAACGAGACCGTTCTTTCGCCCTTCGAGGCTTTCCTTCCTCATTCATCCTGTGCACGCCGCCGTGAAAAAGTAAATAGCGACGTGGAAAAACAAATCCGTACTTTGGAATCCAGCCGCGTCGAGTTAGTTCTCGCTCTGAAGAACTTTTCCGGGGGGTTGAGCAGGTGGATGGGCAGGGCGGGGTTGTGTACGTGCAGGCGCGTCGTACCGGGGGCCGGAACGGGAAGAAAAAATTTTGTACGAAAGCAATTTGCGGAGGTGATCGATGGCGGCGGGTACGCGACCGTAAAGTCATCCTGTTTTCGATTTAAAAAAAACCGCCCAGTCAGCTTCGGAATGATTGTTCCCGGCATTTTCTATGATTCCGTGAGGAATTCTACGTTTTTCTCTTTCCCTCGCGTTAAACTCCGCGTATTTATTGTTGTATAAGATAGGTATATTATCCTGATTAATTCCTTCACTTATGTTCTCTTGCATAACTGCGCTCGTAATAACTTACTTTGACAATAATCGTTTACTAGAGACGAAGGAGAATTCTGCATTCATCTGTATCTACGCTTACTTTAAAGTTTAACGACTGATAAGAGAAATATAATGTTTAATTTAAACTCAGAAGAAATGAGATTCAATGGCTTTCGTTAATTTCTATTTAAGATCTTCGCCACGAGTCTGATGCGATATTATAAGGCAGGGAATTAAGAAGATTGAGTTTATTTAATTTAGTTTATTTAATTATTTGAGTTTATTTAATTTATTTAAAAATGCAAGATTCCACTACTTGTTGTTTGTATGTTCTATACCATTTAATTTGAGACCTGTTGATATGCTTCTGTTCGAGATGAAAAATGCAGAAAAACGAGTTAGTTATTTATAGAAGTTATTCGTGTAATTCAAGAGTTAATCTTATTAGAAACAAGTGAGACTCTCATTCATAAGTAACATAATAATTCATTCGACTTTTGAAGTCTCTTAAATACTGAAAACAGACGAGATATTTCCAGTGGTAAATTGTAGCAGGACATCTTCGGGTAAAGTTCTGAATAACGGTGTGACCGCAACGACGCTTTAAATAGAGATGAAAAGGAACCAGATGAAATCCGGAAAAACGTATGCATATGCCTCGGCGGTCGCGCACAACAGACAACTCTGACTATCCGATGCATTATCCAACGCGTCCAGATCCACCCCCATTTAACCCCTTACATTTTCGATGATAAGACACTCGGTGAAAGACAAACCGGGAAAAAGGCAAAGTTGATATTTACGCGACGAACGTTTCTCGGAAAATAATAAAGTCGCGCGGCAGCTTAACATAATGAAAACGATGTTAATAATTCCGACAATGAATCTTCTTGCAGAATAGATTTACGGACGTTCATTGAAGAGAGTATTCTGTTGTTTTTAGCAAAATGGATATCCGTTCATTTCCATCTTAGAAATTACGGATTTAAATATAAACTATTGGTAATTATACATATTCACGTAATTACATCAATCAAAGCCGACGTAAACGCTTACCAAATAATGTTTATAAAATACAGTATGCGACAAATCGACGGGTTCGGTAAACCTGTGTTAATGTTAGCGATAATTTATATTTCACGACGTGGCACAGACGCAACCGATTATCGCTTTTTTAATCGGAAATGGAACATGTTAAGTATTCAATTACACAGAGAGAATATTAGATTTTCTCTTGGTTTCACGCATGGATTAACGAAATCAATTCTCCATGATTAATTCCTTGTCATTTAAACGTCGTCCTCGGGTTTTATTTTATTAAATGAAAACGAAATGTCCTCTGCTTAATCGTGACATCGTAACCTGTGAGACGTGAATGAATTTAATTCCGCAGCCGTGAAAGTGCGGTCGAGACGATATTTGCAAAGGGAAGTATTCAGATCCGGTTTGAAACAGTAATTACAATTATACTGTGATATCTGACTCTCCAGAATGATAAACGGCTATTAAATTTCAATGGGCAGGCCGTATCGCGCCGTATCAATTGCTAAAACGGTCAGATCTGACCACGCATAAAATCTAATCACATACGTTGGGTCCCCGATTGATTCGCTAAATGCGTTTACCGTGTTGCAGGATCGAGCCAGCGTTTCCGCCTGTTTAATTATGTAAACCATAGTGGAATTGAAATTTTCTGTTGACATTGTTTCTCCGTTTGGCCCTCGTGAAGTTTATCGCTCGTGCTCGTCACGTTAAATTTTGCCGCGAAAACTTTCTATCCGCGTCGCGCTTTATTTTTAATCGTACATTATACCGCGGTGAATTTACAACGCTTCGGTTTATAGCAGCCAGCTTTCTCTTCTCTCTTATTGGAATTTTTAATTTTGCGTCTCGTTTACCATTTAAGTGCCACCCGCGGTGCAACTAAATTACGTACATTTCTTTTGTTACGATTTTCCTTTCCCCTTACGATTATTTGAAGCCTCGTATTATTTTAATCAGCGACAAATAAGCTTCGGATGGTAAAATATTTTTACAATTTTACTTTGAGAATCGACTCTCTGAAAACTGAATCCTCGAATCACTGATTGTTCGGTGCCACTTGCAAGGTTACGTTACAGAAAGAATATATGTAGAATTAGTTTAAAACGCTTCTAATAAAGTGTGAAAACATTGGCGCCATCAAATGGTACAAGCACCTCTAAAGTTATTAAAACAGCGTTCAAGTCTACGTCGCCGCGAACCGTCGCGCAGAAAAATGATTACGGTAAGAAGCCTCTGAAAGTATTACGCGGGTAAACTAATCTACACGATGCATAGAGTGCATTAACATCGCGCTACGTCAACATTCTATTACCCGTCGCGTTCGTGTTTATTACCGAGATCAGTCTAATCGATGCGCTCCTTTAACGGCGTCACGCTATCGGCGGCCGAAGCGGGCGATACGGCGTCGCAATTTCGAGCACTTCTTGCCAAGAAAACCTCATCCGCCACTCATTGCCCCCATAAACTCTTATCTCGTCCGCTATCGATATGCAAAAAGCGAATACACCCGAATCCATTGTATAAAATATAGTCCATAAAAACGGATAAGAGTGAGGAGAAGCGAAGAGAAAAAGGGTCCGCTAGGAAATAATGAAACAACGAGGGGTTCGGAGCGGGAAAGAAAGAGACCGTAGCCCCGGCGACGGATAATTTCCATGAAATCGTGGAAAAAGGTGGTGGAA